CAAGGCAAGGCCTGCTCAAGCACACCACCAGTCTGTCGCTGCTCTGGCTGGATCCATGGTGAAGGTTCCGAGCCAGGCCAGGACTCAAAAAAACCACAAAACCCCCATAATATCCCCCCAGGACCAGGCAGGAACCCGGAAGACCAGCAAAACCCGCCCCTGGGTGGACCCCAGAGAGTCCAGACAACCCTCCGGGACCTCTCCCGCCACGCCCCGTCCTCACTCCCCGACCCCCATCACCACAAGCCCCCCGCCTGGCCCAGGCCCATGACAGCTCCTCCAGCACCACCGCTACATCCCACCACATTCCTGGGCCCTTGCCGCCGCCGCTCCGAGCCACGCCCCCCCCCCCAGGGTCCCCGACCGCCACAACCCCCTCCGCCCGCTCCCAGACCCTCAACGCAAGGGGCTCCGGTTGCACCGCCTGCGCCGCTGGCACACTTCCGCTTCCGGCAAGAGGAACGAGGCGGATCCTGGCTGTGCTCAGAGCAGCGCTACATCCGGAAGCCTGAGACGTGTTCTAGTGATTGGGTCCGGGGAAACGTGTTTGCAAACAGACTGTTTCCAGGCAAACGGACTCGGGGCACAAACACATCCGGGCTGAGCTTTGAGGCCTAGGCACTGCCGCTATCGGGCCGGCCGAGTCCGCTCCAGGGCGGCGGCCACCATGGTGCTGTCCGCGGTTATCGGGAAGCTGCAGCACAAGCGTGTGGTCCTGGCTAGCGCGTCCCCGCGCCGCCGGGAGATCCTCAACAATGCGGTGAATTGGCCCCGGCCAGGGTCGCAACCCCGAGAACACGGGAGGGCGGAGGGTCTGCGGCCCCAAGAACGGGCCGCGCGGCGAAAGGGAACTAGACGGGGGCGGGGCCTGAGGGTGGTTGATGGGAACCTGACAGGGGGCGGAGCCTGAGGCTGCGTGGGGGCGGGACCAGAGGGTGATTGACGGGAGTGACCGGGCTGGGCCAGAGAGGCTGTGTGGCTGGTGGGGAGTCTCCTGCTGGGTGGGGACCGGTCTGTGACGTCACTGCCCTGTGTTCTTCCCTCCCCGCAGGGTCTCCAGTTCGAGGTCGTGCCCTCCAGGTTCAGGGAGACGCTGGACAAGGCTGCGTTCCCCAGCGCAGCTGCCTACGCTGAGGAAACAGCAAAGCACAAGGCCCTGGAAGTGGCCACGCGCATGCACCAGGCATGAGGTCCCCCTGGGTGGTCACGGGACACAGCAGCATGTAGACGTCACACATGTGACGTCATGGTGGTGTCACGGGTGTGACTTTAAGGTTGTAGCATCATGGGTATGATGTTGTGAAGTGATTATGATAACACTATCACTTGTAAAGCAGAAAGTGGACATCATACATTTAATAATTTAGGATGGCCATGACAGGACACGGGTGTGATGTCACATATAATAAGACTAAGGTTTGGGATGTGCAAAGTAGATGTCACATGTGTGATGTCATAAATTATCAGTTGTCACTTGGGACACAGAAAGTGGTTGTCATGGCTGTGATGTCATGTCTGACGTCACACATATGATGTCATCTGGTACAGAAGGACCAGCGGGCACCGGACGTGGTCATCGGGGCAGACACTGTGGTGGTGAGTGTCCCGATGCAGGGCCCGACCCCACCCCCTCAGAGAGAACCTTGGTTAGAGCCCGGACTGCCTAGTAATGTCACCCTCTTTCCCCACGTGTCCCCGCAGGCGGTGTCGGGGCTCATCCTGGAAAAGCCCGTGGACAAGCAGGATGCCTACCGCATGCTGACTAGGTCGGGGCAAAGGCTGCATAGGGTGATGTCGGCACCCCACTTCCTGTTATCTCCCTCCCAAAACAATGACGTTATACAGTAGGGCTGCTTTGGCTCCCAAAGTCCCACCCTTGATGTCGTTACGGTGACATCATCACACAGCTCCGGCTTTCCTGTTTTGTAGGCTGAGTGGCCGGGAACACAGCGTGTTCACCGGAGTGGCCGTGGTACTCTGCACCTGCACAGGTACAAGGAGTGGGGAGGAGTGGGAGTGTGGATGTCCCCAGCCCAGCCCCCCTCTTCTTCCTCTTCCTCTTTCTTATCTTCCCCCTCCACCACAGAGGGTCGCCTGCAAACACATGCCTCCACCTTCTCCGAGGAGACGCGCGTGCGGTTCTCCGTGCTGTCAGAGGAGCTAGTGTGGGAGCACGTGCTCAGTGGCGAGCCCATGTGAGCCAGGGTGGGCTTGGGGGATGGGCCCGTGGGGGACCTGGCCAAGGAAACCCTAGGAGCTGCACTGGAGTTCCCGCAGTAGAGGGTGGGGGTGGTGGTGGGAGATGTATCTAGGTCTCTATCCCCTTGTGGGCATGGCGGGGACATGGCCATCCCATCTCGTCTCACTCCCTGTGAACCCCCTGTGCCCACTTAGGGACAAGGCTGGAGGCTATGGGCTGCAGGCACGGGGCGGGATGCTGGTTGAGGCCGTGCTTGGTGATGCACTCAACGTGATTGGCTTCCCACTGAACCGCTTCTGCCGGGAGCTCCCCGCGCTGCTGGGGCCAGAAGATCCCAAACCCCAAAACACACAGGAGGACTCCAAGCCCCTCCAGGACCCCACAGGGGATGCCGCCACCCACTCTGAGCCCTGGGACCCATTTACTGGATACCCCGCCAAACTAGTGGACCTCATGGAGGGGTTCAAGGCCTCCAAGGTAATATACCCACTATGCTCAAAGTCCTGCTGTGATTTGGCCAATGTCATGACAGTAGGTGACATCATTATGGTTGGTGATGTCACCATCATGGATGGCATAAAGAATGACATCATCCCCACAGTGGCACCATCTTCATGGATGGCGTCACCCGAGTCTCCCAATGGTCTCATAGGGTTGGTGGTGTCACCATGGTGGGTGACATCCTCAGTGTTCCTGTGATGTAATGAGGATAGATGGAGCACTGTGGTGGATGACATCATGGCTGTAGTTGCTGATGATGTCCTAGCAGATGTGCAGTTATGCTTCTGTGTGTCTCCACTCTCCACACACAGGTCCTGTTCACTGCCTGCAGGCTCCGTATATTTGACTTCCTGCAGGAGACGTCACCCCTGACAGCCAGAGAGCTGGCAGGGCGGGTGGAGGCCTCTGTGCCAGAGACGGAGCGGCTGCTGGAGGCCTGCGTGGGGCTAGGGCTGCTGGAGAAGAGGGCACTTGGTGAGGCGGGGTGGTGATGGGTGACTGACAGGCGGTAGGTGACTGACGGGTGAGTGAGTGACCCTTTGTGTCCCCTGCCCAGGCTACAGCAACTCAGCACTGGCAGCTTCACACCTGCTGTCAGGTGGAGACCTGTCGCTGCGTGACCTCGCACTGCACCTGGAAACTGAGTCCTGGCCTCTCTTCTCGCACCTGGAGGCCGCTGTGCGCAAGGGGACGGTTCCCTGGACCCAGGCACTGAAGGAGGAGGCAGGGGTGAAGCAGGTGCAGTCCACAGGGGAGTACCGGGGGGAGGGGGTACCCTCTGTCAACTAACCGCATCCCAGGCCTTGCCGGTAAGCTCGGGATGCGGAGTCCTAGCAGCAGGGGCCATGACTCAGGCCCTGGGACTCCCAGCACTGCCTACATGAGCCCCATCCATGGCCCCACCCCTAAAGACCCCTGTTCTCTTCCAGGCCCTTGGTATACCCCTGCCTGGCCTGGCCTGTCCCCACACTGCCCGCCGGGTGGCCCGAGCTCTCGACCTGTCCTGCTTTGCCTCAGCCTGCTGCACAGGAGGTGCGTGTGGGGAGCCCACCGGAGTGTGTGGCCCAGACTAGGCCTGCCCCGTCCCATACACCTTTCCCACCCTACCGTCTTGCAGGAGGCGCTGATGTGCTGGCCAGTGCCTTGGCCCTGGAGTATCCGCAGATGCGTGTGACTGCGTGGGCCGGCTCGGCAGGTAGGTGGGGCTGTGTATGCGTCAGGTGCACATCACCTGTGCATCACGTGTGCTCATGTATGACTTGTGCCCTCTCCAGGTCCCACTCCTACGCGCGACCTCCCTGCGGCTGACCTCTACGTGGCCAGTGGCCTCCTGCAGGCCCCACCTGACGCCCGCACGGAAGACGTGTTGCAGGCGCTGGCGGGGTGCTGCCCACCAGGTGGGACTACCCCATCCAGTCCGGTACTGACCCACCCTGGTCCCCCTCTGTCAGTCACCTGCCACTTACCCATCCCCTCCGTCCCGCCCACTCGGATGTCCTACTGTCCACCATGTAGGAGGCGGGCTTCTGCTGGTGGAAGCCACCACGGAGGAGGAAGAGAAGGAGACGACCCCGAGGACACGGATGCTGGCGCTGGAGCTGCTGCTGCGTGCTGGGGCGGCGCCCCGGACCCTGGCCCAGTGCCGGGAGCTGCTGGCAGGGCTCGAACTCGGGACTGTACGCATGGCCCCCGCGGGCCCTGGACTGGGCGTGCTGTTGTGCACGCGGACCCCCAACCACCCCGGACTCAATAAAGACAGCGAGTGACCGACAGGCGTGCGTGGCCGTGCGCGCAGTCGGGGATGAGGGGGCCACCGCGCGGACCCCGGCCCGCCTCTTACGTCGTCGCCGTCTCCCTGCGGGCCCGAAACTAAGTTGGGACGGGGAGCTTAACTGAGCGCATGCGTCAACGAGCGCCCTTTTGCGGGCCTGGCTTCATCAGCTCACCCTGCGCATGCTCCCACTCCAGTTACCCTCAGCCCGCAAGGACACTTTGCGCATGCTCTCGGCTCGTAGCTGCTCCTCGGATATAGTGTAACCCCTGGTAACGCTTCCCACAACTGAGGGCCGGGAGCCGCGAACTCGTCCCCTCGGGCGCAGGGCGCCAGGGACTGAGAGACTAGAAACTAGATCCGGTGGCCTCTGCCGTGTTAGCGTGAGACGGACGCGCCGGTCCCGTCGCTGCTTGATGACATCAGACGCGCCCCTTTAGCAGCGGGCCGCCGGGAAGCCCACGGCCTGCGGCCGCCTTGGCAACATCAGGACGCGCTGACGCCATTCTCGGGCGACGTGTTCGCTCTGTGGGAGCGCGCCCGTTTCGAGTTCCAGACAGAGACGCCGCTGTTCGTGCGCGTCAGGGCGCGCGGTTCGAACCCGCGCCTGGAGGCGATGCCCCCGGGAAAGCAGCTGCGGCCGGTGCTGAAGCTGAAGGTGGACGAGCTGTTCCTGCGCTGGCTCAGCGAGGCCGCCACGCAGCGCGCGCTCCGCGAGTGTCTCCGCCAGGCCCGCACGCCCGCCGCCGTCCCCCGCCCCGGGCCGTGCGGAGGCCGCGAGGACGAGGGCCGCCCCCTCGTGAGTGCAGACGGGTCCCGGGGCCTTCCCGACGGGCCGGGCGTGTTCTCGGGGGTGTCCGGTGTGGCGTACCCCGAGGCTGACGGCTGGAGGGGCGTCAAGGAAGAATGAAGCTGGTTTTGAGGGGACTGAAACCGTCCTGTCAAGAGGGCCCGCGCTCCGTGATTGACAGATGCTCTTTTGTCATTTCTGATGCCAGGATGCTCACGGTTTCTTGTGTTTCTCTGGTTTAGCCGCGGCCGTCTCCCGCCGCCTGCGCTCCAGTAGGTAGCTGCATCCCGGCTTCCCAGGGAGAGCGAAGGGAGCACGTCCAGGGCCCGAACCCTCGGCGATGCCCCCAGAGCCTCAGGAGTCTTCAGGGACACCGCTGGGGCGCTGAGGTACCAGGAGGTGGAAATGGCCAGTCAGTCAGTCAGCCTGTCACTCACTCAGTCACTCTGTCATTCAGTCAGCCTGTCACTCAGTTAGTCAGTCCAGCAGGTAGTCCTGTCATCAGTCAGCACTCCTGATCCCAGCTACCCTCTTCCTGTACCCTGGGTGAAGTCTGCGCCTTGCATGCCCTTCTCCTTTGTGGGTGTCTGACTAGATTCTGCTCCAGTCTCCCAGGGAACAAGGCCATGCCCTGTCCTTCCAAGGGAGGAGCCAGGGTGCCTGGGCGGGGATCTGGGTCTGGAGTTCCATGAGGATCTGCCTCTTCCTGTGTGTTGGCAGGCTGTCACTTTGTCTCCTTGTCTTCCTGTTCTCTGTCCACATCAGTGACAGCATGATGGGCAGATGGGTGGCTTGCTGTTCACCCACTTTGCGTTCTCCACCTACTGCACTTTCCTTCCTGCCTCTCTGGATGACTGACAGACTTGATAAGCCAAATCAGCTGGGTGGAGCTGAGAATCCAGGGTCTAGCCTGCTGTCATGTGATGCAGATGTGGGTGGAGCTTAGTGCATGGGAGTGCTCTGTGATGTCCCAGGTGCTGATGGGCATTGGCTCTGAGTGACAGTGTCCTGTGGGTGGGTCTTAGCATTGTGGGAGTGGCTTCCTGTGACTTCAAGGTATGGAGTGACAGATTTGGGGTGGCTCTAGAGGAGGGGGCATGGTCTCCTGGGAATCCCAAGTGGCCAATGGGCAAGGCTTAGTGAAGGGGCATGGCCTCGTTGCCCTCTCCATCACACAATATCTCATCTTGACCCATCCCCAGGCGAGGCTGTCCCTGCAGATGCCCCCCTCCAGCACCATTGCCAACTTCCACTTCCTGCTAGGGCAGTCCTCGCTATTTCAAGCATCCTCTGGACACAGCTTAGTGGAGGGGGTGTGGTCTGTTTGACCTCCCTGCTCTCATGACGCCTTGTCCCATCCCCAGGCCCGGCTGTCCCCATCACTGCCCCCTGCTCACGCCATCCCTGCCTTCCACTTCCCATTCGGGCGGCCCTCTGGGACCACTGACCTGGATGCTGCTGTCACACGTGTGAAGACTGCCTTCTCTGCCTTCCCCCGGCAGCGAGCCTTCCTGGCTGACATGAGTGTTGTGGCCAAGGTGGGTGGGACATGAACCTGTCACCTGAGGGTGGGGCTTCCACCTGTCATTCACCTGGGGGTGGGGCTTCTACTTGTCTTTCACCTGGGAATGATCCTTTGACCACAGCCACTGGGATGGGACCTTGACCTGTCACTCGGTGCCCCCCGTCAGTAAGAATGATGGACAGGAAATGTGTATATCAGTCATGGACAGACAGTACATCTGTTAGAAGTGGTCTCTTGTCACATGGACAAGAAGTGTGTCTGCCACTCAAGAGTGATGAACAGGAGGTCTGACAGTGATGGACAGCTGTCTGTTCCACTGACCTGCATGTTATCCTCGTCCAGGCCTGTAGCTGCCCGCTCTACTGGAAGGCAGCCCTTTTCTATGGTGCCGGTGGCCAGCGTAAGGGCTCTGTGTCTGTCCACAGCTTTGTGGCCATGTGGAGGAGGTAAGCCTGGAGGATGTGGTGAGGGCGGTAGGCAGGACCTGGAGTGCAGGATGTGGGGCTTTGAGTCCTAGGGGCAGGGCCTTGAGGCTTGTGGTGGGGTCAGGGTGATAGGTGGGGCCCTAAATCCAGGGCTTGGGACAGGGCAGTAGGCAGGGCCTGAAGTAGGCATGAAGCCAGTGGGTGGGGCCTGTAGTCCTGGGAGTGAGGTGCTGGGTGTGGCAGCTCACCCCTGGACACATACCACTGCAGGCTACTCCAGAGCTGCCATGACCCTGCTGCCCGGTTCCTACGCCTCCTCGCCCGCCCTGGGGCTGACTATCTGGAGCCAGATGACCTGCTGCCCTTTCTGCAGGTCAGTGACTCCACTCCAAGTGATAGACAGCTGCCCACCTCCTGCCTATACCTAATGGAGAGCAGCCCTTTGTGATGCGCAGCTGTCTGCTCTCTGTGTGCACCCATTAACTCACCCCACATCCCATCCAGGATGTGGTTGACACCCACCCAGGCCTGGCTGCGCTAAGGGAGGTACCAGAGCACCAGTCACCCTACATCTCCACGGTGAGCCCACCCCTACCCCATACTGACATCAGTTCCTGTGACCCTGGGCTCCAGCCCCTCCCTGCCCCAGGTGTCTGTCCTCTTGGGGTCTGTATCGCTGGAGCAGCAAGTACCGTGCCCTCTCCTGGATGATGTGTTGTGTGCTCATGTGACAGTCCTCCCTCTCCAGGTGGTGCAACGCATCTTTTACTCTGTGAACCGCTCCTGGTCTGGACGCATCACATGCTCTGAGCTGCGCAGGAGTGACTTCCTGCAGGTGGGCCCTGTCCCCGGCCCTGCAGACCTATCCTTGCCTGGCCACGCCCAGTTGATTCCAAGCCACGCCCCTTCCCAGCTGGCTACATCCACAGCCTACCAGTCCTGCCTCCGGTATGGCCCTGCCTACCCAGCCCTGCCCCATCCCTTCCTAACCCTTCCTCATTGTTCCTATACCTGCACTCTAGCCCTGGCCCTTCTACCTGGCCCTGCCCTCGGTTCTCAAGAATTGCCCCTTTCTGCGTGGCCACACCCCTTCCTCCCTGCCCCACCTTTTTGGCTTTGACCACATTCAGGCCATGCCTGCCAGCCAGTCTTGCTCATGGTGGGCATGCTCACACTTGCTGGCCCCATCCCAAGCCGCCCCTCCTGAGCCTGGCTGACCCTGCCCTGGACCACAGCATGTGTCGCAGCTGGAAGTGGAGCTCGGTGGCTGCTTCTCCTACAAGGACTTCCGGGTTGTCCACGCCAAGTTCCAAGAGCTGGACACAGATGGTGACCTGCGGCTGCGACCCCAGGACTTGGCACGCCATGCAGACCACGGTGGGGGCAGGGCCTCAGGGTGGAGATTCTGCACAGAGTTCTGGGAGGGTCTGTCCTTATGGTGGAGACTGAGAGGGCTTCCCCCGTCCTCCTGCAGCCATCTCTAGCCGGATGATTGACAGGCTGTTCTCTGGCGCTGTGACTCGGTATGGGGAAGGGGCCAGCTGGCATCCCAGGACCTTCCTCCTCTCCCATGCTCCCCCAACTGACCTGTCCATGGCCCCAGGAACACAAGGACACAATTGCCACAGGAGGCTGGGGAGCGGACAATGAGCTACGGGGATTTCGTGTGGTTTCTGCTGTCGGAGGAGGACAAGACCACGCCCACCAGGTGACCAGCGGTTGCATGGGGTCACTCAGTGGGAGGGATGGGGCCTACCCATGTAGTCATGGCCAATAGGAGGGGTTGATGATCTTCATGACCACCATTCTTCAAGCAGGGCAGGGGTGTGAGTCCTTGTCACTCAGCAGGTGGTGGGTGTGGCTGGCCCAGGGGGCAGGGTTACCTTTTATACCTGCCTGCAGCATGGAGTACTGGTTCCTGACTGAATGGGGCATGATAGGCCCTCTCCTTCAGTAGAGAGGGGTTGGGTTGACAATGGGCATGTCCTGCTCACCATAGCGTGGAGTACTGGTTCCGCTGCCTGGACGTGGACGGGGACGGGGTGCTGTCATGTTGGGAGCTTGAGTTCTTCTACACCGAGCAATGCCAACGCCTGCTTGACCTGGGCGTGGAGCCACTACCCTTTCCAGACTGCCTCTGTCAGATGCTGGACCTTGTGCAACCGCGCCACCCTGGTACTGCCTGTGGCCCCGCTCACCCACCTGTCACCCCATCCTGCTCTCTGTCCTGTCCATCAGCCCTCAGTCCCACCCACTAGGTACCTTTTGCCAACCCCACCACCTAGGTAATGCCCTTGCTCCTGTCAGCCCATGGCCCTGTCTGTCACTCCTGCTTGTCCTTCTTCCCCAACACCGATCATCCCTGCTTAGCCTTCTTTCCTTGTGCCCAAGGTCCTGTCCCTTTCCTCTGTTGCCAATCACATCTGGCCATGCCCCTCTACTTTGTTAGTCACGTGTCATCCTTGGTGGTCCTGCCCCCTTTCTATTATCTCGGCCCCACCCCTTCCTCCTCAGTGCCCCAACTCAGCCTATCAATCCTAATTGTCTACTCTTTGCCTTCCCCTCTGGGGCCATTGTGTCTGGCCCTGCCCCATCACTTCCTCAAGTCCTTATAGCCTTGCCCTCTGTGTTAATGCCAGTTATTCCTGCTGGTCCCGTCCCTTCCCCTCCATGCCTATCACTTCTGGACCTACCCCCGCCTTCCCTTCCTCCATGATTTCCATAGGCCCTAATGGCCCTGCCCCTACTTTCCTCCCCCATGTCCTTCATCCCTAGTAGTCCAGCCCCCCCCCCCATATTCCCAGTGGTCCCGCCGTTTCCCATTCACGCCTACCACATCCAGCCTGCACTCACCTTCCAGTCACTGCCTGCATCCCTATAGTCCCGCTCCCTCCCTTCCGACTGTCCCCGCAGGCCTTGTGACCCTTGGCGACCTGAAGCGCTGTGGCTCTGCTCCCACTTTCCTAGACACCTTCTTCAACCTTGACAAATACCTGGAGCGGGAGCAGCAGGAACCAGCTGGGCCCAGGGTGCGAACTGGAGATGGGGCTGAATCAAGAGACTGGGCCAGGCCTGTTGCGGGTGGGGTAGGGAGACAGGACTAGGGTGTAGGGGGACACTGCCTGGGAGGGAGGTGGAACTAGGAGAGGGCCAGGGTTACCAACTGGTCTATCCAGGGTGGGATCACAGAATCGTGGATGTGGTCACAGCCAATGGGGTGTGGCTTTGAGGCTGGGAGCTTGGGAGAGGGTAGCTAGAAAGGGTGGGACTTCAGAAGTGGGTGTGACCACAGTCAGGCCAGGGGCTACAGTGGATATGGCTTAAATGGTGTGGGCATGGCCTTGTGGGAGGGATGGGGCTACCAACAGGGGTGTGACTACTAGGAGGCAGGGTTGAGGGAGAGGGCTGGTCTGCATAGTGAGAGCAGGACTAAACAGTGGTGTGGGTATGGCTTTAAGCCTGTTGGTATGGCCTGCAAGATGGGCCTTGCTCTGCAGACCACCCAATCTCAGCCATGCCCCGCATTAGGAAGGTGAGGATCCTGTACTGACCACGTGGGAGCGCTATGTGGCTGCTGAGTTTGCACTGTTGGAGGCCGAGGAGGAGCAGCTGGAGGAAGAGGAAGAGTGAGTGCCAGTGGGATGGGGCGTGGGAAGGCAGTGGAGGCGGGGTCTGAGAATGACAGGTTGGGTGGATCCAGCCGCCATGTGAGGTTAGAGGAGTGGGCTGTCTTTAGTGTTTGGGACAGGAAGTAGAGGGACAAGGTTAGGGGCTATGTTGAATTTGATGGACAGGCCAATGCCAATGAGCAAGATGGGAAGTAGATGGGCAGGGCCAGTGCTCATGTCAAATCTCATTGAGGCACAGGAAGTAAAAGGGCAGATCAGCAGCCACATCAGGTGGGCGGTGCACTGGGAAGCTTTGTCCCTCACCCTCACCTCTCTCCCTTGGCAGGTCGGAAGTGGAGCTCAGCCCTCAGACCCGGCCCCACTTCTTCCCTCCACCTGTTGCACTTGGCCTGTTTGAGGAAGAAGAGGATGATGTAACTTACTAAGGGCTGGCAGGTGTGGGGTCATGTGTGTTTATATATTTGATAAACTTGTTCAAGCAAGCAACTGTTGTGATGTCTCCAACCTGCCTCTGGCTCTGCCTACTCTGTCCAGACACACCCACATGTACCCAGGCACTGCCCCCATCACTCATCACAAGATACCCTCATGCTCAGGCGCCGCCCAGATGGTTTGTCAATTTATGCGGGACACACCTGCAAAGCCTGGCTCCACAGATCGAACTAGAGCCAGGGTTGGGTTAGGATTGATTTTGTGGTTAGGGCTAGAGCTTAGGGTTGGATTAGGAGTAAGGATTAAGGGATAGGATTTAGGAGTTTGGGTTAGGTTAGGGGTTAGGGCCTGGGAGCGGCTGTGGCTCCAGCTGGCCGGGGAGGGGCTGAGGTGGTCACACATGGTCTCCTAGGGTCCCGGCCCATCTGTCATGCTTGTGCCCCGAGCACCCCGAACCTGCTGCCATATTGCTGGGAGCGGGCCCAGCGGCTGGCTTTGGCTGCATTTCATGAGTTAGAATGGTCCTGTCTTTTGGGTGAAGCTCAGCAAACCCCTGGACTCCAATGGGATTGTGGGAGGTAGGTGTTAAGCTAAGTTAACTATTATATTTTACCCGCTAGAACAGGGGACTGGTTGGGAAATGGGCATGAGTCAGGCTATTCTTGCCTGACTTGATGGTTTTTGATTGAGAACTGGCAACCCATTTTCTGGTAGGAGTAAGCCACTTTAAAGCTGATGAAGTTTGGTAATGAATCAAATTCTTAACAAAGAAGACCAAAAAGGAGGGAGAAAAATGTTATCCTGGTGGCTTTCATGGGCCATGGATAAAATTATACAGAAGTTCAAATCAGCTCGGTTAACTGGTATAATGTAAAGCAGGAAATACCCTGTTTTGCTTGAAACAGTCTGTTAGTGGTGGCAAAAAAAAAAAAAAAAAGATCAGCTCACCTGCTACTCTATCTTCTGTGGCTCCTTACACTCCTGTATGCACTCACCAGCTACAACATGACAGAGTTTTATCTGCTTTGTTCTCTGGTGGTTCCCAACCCTAACATGAATGCTCTGTACACGGCATGTGTCCAACAGAAATTTGTTGAATGATTTACTTTCCAGGAGAATCATTAAGATTACTAAAATCTAAGATGAATACAAGACAATCATCACAGCTGTAGATCCTAGCCTTGTGATAAGACAAGTGACTGTGTGTCCATGTTTAAATGTCATGAAGCTCCTACTGCGCATGTGCACTGTACATTCCTGGCACTTCGGAGGTTCCAGGAAGGGGACTTGGGACTTTATTACTGTCACATCGCCGAAATAATCTTAGGAGAGGAATGTTTCTCCTCTGGTGGTTAGATTGTACTGCATGGTAAGTGTGCTCTCTGGCACTTTTCAGCTTTTGCTTTTGTTCAGTTGCTGTCAGGAGGTTTCCTGTCTTGAAAGTGTAGGTGGATTAGCAGGTGAAAGTGACCTGTAGTGCCTTTTATCTGTCACAGGTGCATAGTCAGGAACAAGGGGGAAATTCTGTGTTTGGGGCATGCATGGTCTCTCCCATGGTTGCCTCGTGTTTAGTTTCCATTGGCCCGAATACAAATGGGTACCTAGTCCAATTGGTTCCCACATGGCTGCCGTGAAGCCAGTCTTCCCAATGTGCCCGTCACCTCTGTCTTGGAATCTGACTTGCCCAACCCTCTTTGCGATCGATGGTAACTGTTTTGCTGAGGCTAACTAAATGCTTTGAAAGAATGATTCTTTTCCTCTGCCTCTTACTGGGTCTGAAATCTCCCAATTAAAGAGATTTGCATTCTGGGTTGGTATGACCTTTTTAATGCTTGGGAGGAGCAACCCGTGGGTCTGATGTTTTCCTTGTTTACAAGGGCATCCTGAGAGGGAAAAGGAGTCAGGGAGAAAGTGGCTGGAACTCATGCTCCACCTGTCCCACCCCTCCTTTCTTTCTGATACCCTTCTACTAGCATGCTAGCCCCAGCATGATGAAGTGACGTAGGACTGTTCTCAGAGGATAGTGAAAGACTATATGTGAATCATAGCTGGCTGAGCACTATGGAGCAAGCAGGCAGCCACCCACTTGGTCTGAACAGCACAACCGAGCCACAGGCCTCCTGTCCTGGGTTCTATGAAATGTTCCTGTGGTTGTACCTGAGAGATGCTTATCTACAACTGTTGAGTCCACTTGGTTTCTCAAAGAGATTTGTGAGCTGAGGGATTGTATGCTCAAGAACAGAACTGCATTCTCACTGTCAGAGTAACCACCCCTTAAGAAACCCTAAACCTCACAGGCAAAGCGAATGGAGCAGGACCCCAGAGGCTGGTCACAGCAGGAGAGAGATGAGCCTCCAGGCCCAGGTGCCTCCCTGCACAGACTGTCACCTCCACATGGCAGCTGAGAAGGTGTCTCTGTGCCCCTGCTCAAGGGTTGGCAGACCTGTTGCTTCCATCTTGTCTGTTCCCCAAACTAGGACTGTTCCTAGGAGCTGGAGGCAGAGGCCACAAAGAAGATGAAGAGATACTTGGGTGTATTGTCTTATTTGACCTTTCCACTCGCATTACTACTGGACTGGAACACAGCCACCTCCTGTGTATACAGCCAATTATTGAAAGGATGTGTGGTCTCTACCAACGTCATAGTGACTGTTCTTGTGAGTGCTCTTATGGTCACAGTGAAAACAGAAGCAGATGGCTGAGGGAAAGATGGGGCAAAGAAGAGGGCAGGAGGTTCAGAAGCCAAATAGGGCCGACTTCCCTCCTCCTGTCTTCATACTTTTAAGTCCTTACAGTCAAGGACCCCTTTGGGCCACACAACCCTGGGCTGTTTGAGACAGCCAGGAAAAATGGAGGAAGAACAAGAGTATGGAAAGGGATTGTGGTGTGAACATTTGGAGATGGAAGCCACTGCTGTCCCAGTGCTGTGGCCGCTGTCTCTAAGCCTAAGGAAGTCAGTGCAACAGAGCCTTCTTTGATCTTAGTCGCAAGGTTTACTCTCAGAGATAGAGATCAGGGTATCGAGCGTGGCAGAGAAGGAAGCAGGAAGGGGCCTGTGCAAGAGGTGGCAGCATTCTTGCTCTATAGTTGGCTCTTGCACAGGAAGTGTTGGCGCAGGTTGCATTCATTGCTGCTCCAAGTTAAAAAGTCTGTAAGAAAACAAGCAGGAATTTCAGTCCATCCAATTCTGTATTGAGCTTGCCAGAGTTAGACTGTTTGGCTTGGAACTGTGGATGTTTTTACCTGTCAGCCTGTCCAGGGGATGATGCCTAGTTGTTTGGACAAATACTAGTTTAGGTATTTGTATAGATATGTAGTTTTTATTTATTTGAGAGGCACCCATGCAGAGACACAGAGACAAGGACAGAGAATGAGTTCTTGACTCGTGGTTCATTTCTCACATCCCACAATGGCTGGGACTGGGTGAGTATGAACCCAGGAGCCAAGCACTCAGTCCTGGTCACCTACTTGGGTGTCAAGGACACAGTGATTGAGCCATGGAATTCTAACTCCCTGGGTGTAGATTAGCAGGAACTTGGAATCAGGAGAGGAACAGGACTTGACCCTAAGCATTTGATAGGGGACGTAAGCATCTCCATCCGTGTTTTAACTAATAGGTCATATACCTGCCCTTGAACATATTTTTAAAAGATACCCATATCTTTTAACATTTACATTGGTAGACTTTGAATAAAGCAGATTATAAGTTGTAGTGTGGCTGGGTCGTATGCAACCAGTTGAATGCCTTAAAAACAAAAGACTGTTTCCCTGAAGAAGGAGCGATTCTGTCTACGGATTGCAGCATCAACTCTTCCGGGAGTTTCCAGTCTGCATCTGTGCTTTATAGATTGCCTAGCCTACAAAAATGAAGGTAGGGAGGGCCCTGCACAGTAGCCTAATGGCTTAAGTCCTTGCCTTGCTTTTTCTGGGATCCCATATGGGCGCCAGTTCGTATTCCAGCTGCTCCACTTCCCTTGCAGCTCTCTGTTTGTGGCCTGGGAAAGCAGTTGAGGACGGCCCAAAGCCTTGGGACCCAGCACCCACATGGGAGATCCAGGCTCTTAGCTTCAGATCAGCTCAGTTCCAGCCATTGCAGACACTTGGGGAGTGAACCAGTGGACAGATCTTCCTCTCTGTCTCTCCTCTTTGTAAAGCTCTGTAATAAAATCTCTCTAACAAGAAAGTCTGTAAATAAAAATAAATCTCAAGACAAAACAAACAAAAGAGGTCTGCTCAGGTTCACACAGCTCATTTAAGTTAAATGCAGATGGAGTGGCATTCTACCTTGAGCATTCAGGACACAGAACCTGTGCCCTGAGCACAAACTTAGACTGAGTACAAAATCTCTTTACACTGCAGAAGCCTCATACTTATTAGTAAATGTCTCACAGTGAATTGGTAGAGAATCAAGAAGGCCTGGCAACTGTGGTTTTTCAGTCACCAGCATTGCATGGTCATGTAAATGAGAGAGACCATGTGAGCCTGAGTGGCTGTGTCATAGGGCATTGATTTTTACAGACTTCCAGAGACAAAAAATTCATTCCACAAAGATAAAATGACACTGATGGGTTCAAGGGGAATGTCCCCCTCCAAGTCCATGTCCCACCAGTTTCTGTCTAATCCTTTCACTCCTGCTTTTCTGTCATGAGAGCCTGAGGAGCATTGTGATGGCTGTGAGCCAGCTGATCCACCACAGGCAAGGAAACACGATGTTCCTAAGGGCATGTATGTCAGGGTTCTGCATTCTGCTGACATCATTGAGGACCACAGGACAAGAAGGATTTTTTTTCCATTGGGAGAGACTTTGGGGGGGGCGGTGTCTGGATCAGATCTGCTTCCCCAGAGCTGATCTGATTCTCAGCCTGAGTCAGTGCTGCAAGTCTGAACCAAACACCTGTATTTTCCATTTTTAACATGTCCCTTGGTTGGTGCTTATGTGTCACTGGAGCTCCCATCCAGCATCTATAGTGTTTTTCAATTATAATGAAGATGGCAGGGTCCACATTTTGCTTTGTAACTCTAGTCATAAGTGTCTCACTACTTCCTGGCGTTGCCCCCTCTCAATATGGACAGCCCTAAATGTCCATACTTTCTTCCTTCATTTGGCTAGAAATTCAGTTCACTAGGTTCTACCTGTGGTTTTGACTGTGCACTTTCTGGTTTTTGATGACCTGGGCTTTCAGTTTGGTATTTGTACTCTGTCATCTCTCCACTTAAAAATTAATGTATGTAAGTTATTTTCATTTTTGTTGAAATGCAGACCCAGAAAGACAGAGACTATGATCTTCCATCTATTGATTCACTCCCCCAAACACCTGTAACAGCTGGAGCTGGACCAGGCCAACACCAGGACCTACCACAAGAGTAGTAGGGACCTACCTACCTGTGTCGTTACCCACTGCCTCCCTAGGTGCAATTTAGCTGGAAGTTGGAATCGGAAGTGGAGCATGGATTCGATCCTAGGCACTCTTTGATGGGGTGCAGGCATCCCAAGCGACACCTTGACCACCATGCCCACTTCTCCAGCTTCTTAATCCCTGGGATTTTCTCAGAGTTGGTCTCCTCATGTCTGCCATCACTTTTTGCTGTTAGAAACTTTCCTTGATTTCCTTTTTTGACCTTAGGAGCATGAACCAGAGACATCAGAGAACCTTGTCCCTGTTCTACTGGGACTTTCTTTCTCCTCCCCAGGCTGCCCCAGCCTTAGGGGATTGCTGTTGACACTGTGATGGCCATTGAGGTCCATTGGAAAGTGCATGAACTTTGGCATTGGTGTCCTTCCATAGTCTAGTTTTATAGTGAAATCTTCCACGTCACTTATCTGTGATTCTTGGAGATAGTGGGTGATTCTCCAGCACTCCACTCCCTCAGACTTTTGGCAATGTCTGTCACAGCCCTAGGAATGGAGCTAGGGCACTGGTGTTTACTGAACAGGAACCAAGGATAATGCTAAACCTTGCACAAGGTACACCCCTACCCCCTTCCACATCCCCAAAGAACTATAGCCTGCAATGTCATTGGTACCCAGGTTGCACACTTACTTCTGTGAAAAAACAATAATTAAATCAGGCCAGGGAAAAGAGGAAGCTTAAGTGACCAGCCACAACCACAAGGTTCTGGTCACCACATTCTGGGGATAAACTGGGGGACACAAGGAGAAGCCAGGCAGAGACTGGATTTCCAGAGCCCTTAAAGAAGCCCCATTTTAAAGAGATCAGAAACAATTACCCTGTATCTACAATTGCGTATATCTACTTCTGATGTCCCCCTCATAGTTTTAAAACGTCTGTGTTCAAGGAAGCAATGAGTGGATTTAAACAAAATATGTAGTCAACAACCATATGGCTGGAGTGTTGATAATGCCAGAGATTAAAGCTAAGCCATGTTGTTGCAAGGCCATTGTCCTGGTAAGGGCAGAGCTGTTGTGTTAAAGGGGACAGGCAAGCAAGAAAGGCACAGACATTTGTCTGTTAGTAGGATCAGAGAAAGAGCTGTGCTTTGGGAAGGCCAAGGGGCAATGAATGGAACTCACTGCTTGTGTGGCTGAGCTGTGCACAATGCTTGTTCCCGTCCACTGACGGGCTGCTCCGGAGTCTATTAAAGTATGTGGCTCCATCGATCCACTGCCAGTACTGCTTCTGCAATAAAGGAGATGGGAAAATGTGCTGTGAGCCAGCCCACGTGCTCGCAGTCAAGGTGTTCCCCTCAAGGGGCCTTTAAAGCAAGAGTGTGTGCATTTCAAACCTTGGGAAAGTACAGAAAAGCTCAAGGAGAAGAAAAAAAGGTCACTCTGTGTAATCCCTACATCAGTGATACTATAGCATATTTGCTACCAGGGTAGATACTTTTATGCAACATGCACTTAGAAGTATTACAAAATGTTATGACCTTTAAAATACATGTTAGTTTTGTATCTTGTTTCTTCTACATGGTTTTAAATGTTAAGAATGTACCATAATATGCCTTCATATTCTTCTGTTGGCTGATAGATGGCATAGATAGGTATCATAAGGAATTCCACCAGGAACAACTTTATTAATAATGTTATTTTAGTACCTACAGTTTCCTTATGGCTGAATCCAAGAAATAGAATTGATGAGTGAAAGGGCGTGCATATTCAAGGTTACTGATGCTCATGGCCAAAGAGCTTTCCAAAAGCTGTTCGTTCAGCCGTGAGAACAAAGAGCCTCATCAACTAGCACAAAGGCAATCTCCATTTTCTTAAAAATCCAACTCACTAAGACACATCCAAGTTTGATGATGTAATAAGCTAAATTATATTGTTATCTTAACTCCATCCCTCTGATCAGTGGAGATCTGGCGTGAATTGAGGAATGTTTGTCACTTATTTTCTTCAGTTCTTACGTGGCTTGACTGTGTCCCCAACAGTTCATGTATTGCAAATGTTCCTTCACACAACAGTGCTGGTGGGACCTGGAGGGAGCTGTCTGAAATATGGAGGTGAAATGTTTGTGAAAGGATCAAGACTCAGAGACTGAGTTAGCTTCAGCCAGGCCTCCTTTCCCTGCCCCGTTCCCCCAGATGCACACTTGTCTTTTCACTTTATGCTATGAGTTGAAGCAGGGTTTGGCACTTCCCTGATGTAGCCGGCCAATCCTGGACTTGCCAGCTTTGAGCACTGAGAGTCTAAATAATTCACGGAGGTACTCTGCTGTGAGGGCGTGAGTGCAAGCATTCCCCACAGAAGCAGATGTAAATACTTATCTTGTCTTTGAATGATGTTTTTTTTTCTGCTTGTTGGCAACGTGAGTACATAAAAATGTAAACTTTCTAATCATCAGAAAGTTAAATACGTGCATGAAATATTCACAACTATGGCAACTACAGCATGTTCAAGAGGAGAAAAAAACATGAAGATATTCACAGGTAGAGACATATTCATACAAGTAGATGTACAAGTCTGAGGTGTCTTCAGCTTTTCACCAAGAAGCAGGAAAAATGGGTACTCTCTGCATTTGCTGTGTCCATTTTAGCCAGCTCTAGAAGCTTCACAGTGAATCTCCAACTGTGGGCCTCACATAGACACCTAAGCACCAGCCATTCTTCATGGAACATTCCTCACAATAAGGTATTGGCCAGTGATGAAATTGAGGTCAACATAAAAAGTAACAGCATCAAGGAAAAGGATATCTAAAAGTTCCCAACTTTACCTTGAGATCTAACGGGCATTTGATCCATCTGAATCTCATTGTGGGCATGTGCGTGCACATACATACACACACATACACAAGTTTGTTTTTTGTGAAGAACATGGGAAATGCATATTGGGAAAAGTGCCAAGACTGAATTTCAAAATTATTTCGTATGAAAATATACTTCTCTTTTCCATTTTTCCAAGAACTTTTAGGAGCACTTTTATGCATAAACTTTTTCGTTGTGATTGCTTTGAACACTCTAAAAGGCTGGTAGTTGTGTATTCTAAGATCAGGAGGACCTTGATTAAACAGAAAATCTATAAAATAGTGTCACCCAAATTACAGCTTCCCCTGTGGTCCAGAACTGGGCCCTGACCTTGAGGCTTTGCCTCTGCCAGCCAGCAACCCTTCAGTGAAGGTCTGCGCCATGCCCCTTACAGGGGAGTACTGGCCATTTCTCAGAAAGGGGGTCTTGACAGCGAACTGGGTCTCATTCGAAAGTTACCTTCTGCAGGTCACGCAGGCCAATCCAGACAGGCTGGTTTCTTTGATAGCCACTTATGTACTTGGCTATGATCCTGAACTCCTTTTCGTTCAGGATGGATGCCAAGTGGGTCCCATTGCCATATGATTGACAGTCGAGCTGTGTGCAAAGCAGAGGTCATGTTAGTGAAGCCTAGCTCTTTTCTACAGTGCTGGTGTGTCAAGACAGACAGACTCAGGCAGACCCTACCTTTTGCAGAAGCTGGGGTCCAAAACCCACACTGGACTTGCTGCCACCATGGAAGCCGGCACAACTGTCACAGTGTCAGATCTCAGGAAGAGGCATCTCCAACCAAGGGCCAGAGATTGAGGATCTGAGCAGGTGCCTGGGAGCCTGGTCTCCCCTCTTCTCTGCCTACTTGATGGCATGCTGCTCCTCCCCTACACGCCCCCCAGGTCCAGCTCCCTCACAATTACAGCCACAGAAACTCTTCGCTCATCTGTCTATCAGTCAGTCATCAATCAATCACCAATCTGTCTAATTATCCAGGACTCAGAAGAGCATTGTGTTGGGACCGCCTTCCCTGGGTTGGCTCCACTAATCAGTCTCTAATCTTTACAAAGTCACTTATTTTCACTCTGCATTGAAGTTTTCTGTTTTAAGTATCAAACTGCTGCATTTATCTTGGCATGATTTTAAGAACATTTCTTTTCTTGTTGTTGCTGTTGCTTTTCTTTTCCCTGTGGCTGAGTTACAGATAGGGATCCCAAGACCATTCTGGGTTCTGACTGTGCTGCAGTGTTGCCATGGGGCTTTCCCATCAGTTGCTGAATGCCAGGAGCCATAGTTGAGGGCCCTGCAGCCCGAACTGCCTGCATCTGTTGGAGTAACTTGCTCAGAGCGTCTCTTAAACCAGGGCTCCATGAAATATAAACCATATGTCTGTGATTCCTCACAACACAGAAACCTGCCAGTGGTTCACATGGCTTAACAGGCTCCCCTGGGGCCGCTGGGGCAGGCATGTCTGCGCCCTACTCTCTCGTGGTAAAATCTTGTACAGGAATTGAGCAATGCCTCTTGCAAGTCTCTCATCTCCTTTCATATCCACATTTCTCTTTCCTGACCAAGATCTGACAGAGGGCTAGAGGCATTTCTCACCATCCTTCTGTCCTGGTAGCACCTGTCCATTTATGTAGTTATAATGTCGAGCAAGCCGAATGCACAGCCTCTTCTTTCCCTTCCCTTGGCCAGGCAGCTGCCCCTATCACTGCCAAGGACAGAGCCGGAACTCTGAGTTAAAGGAGACAGGGACTCAACCTGGCTGGCCACCTTTCTTACCTCAGCATCAGACCAGCTCCTTGGCTTCCGGAAGTATCCGTAGCAACTGGAGCCATGGTAAAACCATCCAGCAGCACAGCTGCTGATGCCTGCATGGAACAGAAAACAATTACAGGTGAGGCTAGCAGCAACTGCCAATCCCAGGTTTGACCACCTATAGAACCAGAACCCTGTGCATGAAGGGCAGGAAGGACCCTCACACATACGTGGCTGGAGGTTTACAAAAGTAAGTGCTCTCCCTGACTTTCCCAAAGAAACCAATGGCCTCTGACCAGTGACTGTGTTGGGGAAAAAGAAATCATAGCTGTCTCCAACTACCAGCACTGACTCTGAACTGACACTGAGCCCACTGGATCTCAGACATCACAGTGGCCCACAGAGGAGGGCTCATGGTGGTCGGGTGGTCAGTGAGTTGAGCTCTGATGTGCCACATGATGAGATCCTGTGGGCCCTGAATCCATGCTGCAGTTATTCCAGATGCCAATCTAGGAGGCATCATTGACACAGGCATGCCCAGCAACAGGCAAAATCCCACTGTGGTAGGGGGACACACAGCTTTGTTGGAAGGCAGCACAAGAGTAGACAAGGATGAAATTTAAAAAAAATAGCCACATCATATTTGGAAAAATGAACAAATTTGAAAGACAAACACTCCTAAATTCAAGACTTCTTTTTTTTTTAAGATTTATTTATTTTTATTACAAAGTCAGATATACATAGAGGAGGAGAGATAGAGAGGAAGATCTTCCATCCAATGATTCACTTCCCCAAGTGACTGCAACAGCCAGTGCTGAGCCGATCCGAAGCCAGGACCCAGGAACCTCTTCCGGGTGTCCCATGTGGGTGCAGGGTCCCAAGGCTTTGGGCCGTCCTCAACTGCTTTCCCAGGCCACAAGCATGGAGCTGGATGGGAAGTGGAGCTGCCGGGATTAGAACCGGCACCATATGGGATCCTGGAGCATCCAAGACAAGGACTTTAGCCACTAGACCACGGCGCCGGGCCCAAGACATCTTATTGGTTGTAATAATCAAGTCAGACTCATACTAGAATAAAGATAGAGATCAAGGGACTAGAACTGTCAAGATGACCTACAATTATAATTTGGCCTACACCTTTTGTCTGTAAAAACACAAAGATAAACCAGTTGATTATCCACTCAAAAAAAGAAACAGAAAAGTGGACAAAGGACACACAGGCAGTACCTTGAAGCATTACCAACAGGAAGCAGTCCTTTTGGCCTGGGGCCATGGGATGGGTTACATGGCAAATTGGCTGGAATTTGAGCACAGTGAGGGGAGGGTACGCTTTAAGCAAACAGGCTGACTGGGAGGAGGAATGAGCAAGACGTGCACAGGAACAGCAACACCCGAGCTTGCCTAAAGGACAGCACGTGCATCCAGGAGAGGAAGAGGGGAGCCCCAAGGCTTAGCAGCAAAGGAAGCTGTGGCTCCAGGAGGCTCTAGCTCCTCTGGCTAATGGGGTGGTGAATTCGCTGAATCCCGAAGACTTGAAAAGGAGAGATGGTTGGAAGTATAGCAAGGCCAGGGGACAGTACGCAGTCAAGGCCGGGCTGTGTGACAACGTGGCAGCCTCAGGGGGCACGCCAGTCTTGTCTTTCGCTTGAGGGTTTTCAGGACACTGCCGTCACTTGTTGGCCCAGTTCTTCTGCTCTGTTCCATCCCTTGCCTAACAAGGTCCTGGGCATCTTCTTGCTCTCTGAGAACTTCCCTGCTTATCAGCTTTCTCACTCTGGTTCTCTGACTGAGGACGTGATGCTTAAGTTAGATCTTCTGCACACTCTGTCCCTTCTACCTACAGAGAATGAGCAGTGACCAACCCAGCCAAAGCATGGCAGAAAAAAGCAGTGAAGGATTCCACAGATAAACCCAAGCAGCACAGAAATGCCTCACCTTCTGCAAATCCGAGCATAATTTTATGCTAAGAAATCACAGTGATTGCTGCTACTTCCGTCATCAGTTTCCACTCACCAAGCATTTTCTTGGTGCTAAGCCATGCAGACACACCAGACATGTTTTTATTGTAATAACAGGAACGTCGGGACACCTTTGCTAAGGTGGCCACCTGCCCAGAGTTGCAAAGTAAGAGGGGAAAGTTGCTTAGGTGGTTGCAAATATGGAAAGACATGTTTGTTTATTTGCATCTGCTGAGAAGCAGAAAGATGGGGACGGTGAGGGAGAGAGGGGATGTTCACTCCATGGGATCGTCCCCCTGCCCACAGTGTCCACAACACCCAGGCCTGGGGCAGGCTAAAACCAGGACCCAAAACTCCAACAGGGCCTCATCTGCCGTTCCCCAGGGCCTCATCATCAGCATGAGTTGGATCAGAAGCAGACCAGTGGGGACTTGAAGCCTGCTTTTATAAGGGATGCCTGAGTCCCGCTGCTTCAAGGTCCTCCACAAGATCTTAGATTAAGTAAAAACTAAATCTTCTTAAGAAGTAGGGCTGACCGCAGAGTACCACCTCCACGTGGAATGGGCTTGGAATGGAATGTCCAGGGGTCGGGACAGCCTGGACAGGCGGGTGAAGAGAGGGAGCTGGGACCTCTGACAGGAAGCCAGAGCGGCCCTGGTGACATTTCGGGACTTGCCGCTGTAGCCCGGCATTCCATGGACTAGTGTTACCTCAGGTTGGCCCACACCGCAGCCTTTACTGCCCCAAAATTCAGACACAAGGAGACCTAGAGGGCATCGTGAGCTCTCTCAGCCAACTGTCTCTGTCCCTCGGAGGATCTCTAGCTCGCTGGCTCACGCTCTCTCATCAGTCTCATCTTTCTGCTTTGACTGTCTCGTCTCTCTCTTTCCGTTCCTGTTTCTGAGTGTCTCTGCCCGGTCCCTGCCTCTGCTTCTCATTCCGTCTGTGCGTTTCTCCATCTTTCCGCTCCCCTCTCTCCGGGCGTCGCTGTGGCCCTGCGCCCCCTAGTGGACACTTTTGGTGGTACGTCCTTGTAAGTCGTGGAGAGTTTTTCCTAGAGTGAAGAGGGGAGTTTGGGATTCATTGTGGGTCATTCATGTGAAATGGTCAGTCCAGAGCCCAACATAGAGTAAAGCTTTAATAAATGATAATCAGTTAAAAGTATAACCATTAACGGTCATCACCACCATTGCTATAACTAGTGTACTGCTTTTTGAAAAAAACTAGCTGGATTGAAGCACTAAGTCATAGCAGTGCTGGTGCTAGGCTCCAGGACAAAAAAGATGAAAAAGAAAAAAAAGAATGTTAGCTGTATGAAGTTTGCAATCTGTATCAGTCATGTTACCCCTCTGTCTCTCCGAGAATTGAGTCAATGGCCTGCCTTGCATCTGGTGCTGGACAATCACAGACCGTGGCAAAAAGACAAAACAAAACAAAAACAAAAACAAAAACAAGATCGCGCCATCTGTGAGCCGAGTTACCATCTTGACCACTAGATGTCGTTCAGCGAGAACGAGCTAATTTCGGAATACCCCGCACTTCCGCCAATGTGGGATTTGACGCCCGCCCCCTCCCAGCCATGGCGCGCGGATTAGTTAGCTCATGTCATAAGGGAGGTTCTGTCAAGGAAGTGAGGACCCCTGGTGAATTTTCAGATCCCGCCTCCTCTGGGGAGAGAAACCCGAGGGTCGGTGTGATCCCAACTCGGGCTGAGATGTAGATAGGGGAATTGTGCAGCCTCCTTCAGGAAGCCTGAGGGCCCGTGTCAGAGCTGGGCTGACCGCAGAAGGCGGCTCTGTGGGAGACACCGCAAGGCAGCCTACCAGTGCCTCCCACAGCCCTGCCTGCAGCAGAAGGCCCAGTTCCTCACGCAGCGCTAAGGGGACAGAACTGCTGGCTGGGTGTGGGCGTGCGAGGCCACATGGGCGTGCGAGGCTCAGGAAGCCTCCTTCTCGTAGTGTTTCCTCCTGTGGACACCCTGCTTCCTCTTGAGACAAGTACTGACGTAGCTCTCACTGGGTCTCCCAGCAGACAGTCTTCTCAATAGATGTTTTCTCAGAGTGAGGCGGGGACAGCTTTTGCAAGTCAGCAAAATCAAATTAAGTTATCGCAGCCTCCCCCAGATACTGCTCTGCTGTGTGACCTTGGGCAGGCACGACCCTTCTCACTGGCCTCCTCGTGGAACAAAGGCATCCCGCAGATGAGCCCAGGTCTTGCGCCCTTCCTCTTCATCACAGCCTCGTTGGAGAGACTCACGGACAGCCTGCCGGGTGGCAGGAGCTGCGGCATCTCTGTCCTTCACAGTTAATACAATTTACACTTAATTGATGCTTTATTGTGGCTTACAACTACATAGCGTTGGGTATGTCTGATTCTAGAGCCTTTGGACTTTTTACACACCGTGTTGTCTATCATTCTCGTCTTTAAAATCTGCTCTCTGGTGTGCCGGTCTTTGGGGGAGAGGAGGCAAGCTGAGGGCTGCATAGAGCTGAATGTGCGAAGACTGAGCCTGACCTTGACCCAGCTAAGTGACCGGTACTCACCGCCCAGGACCTCAGTGCTGGCCACCCAGCTCAGCAGGAGAAGCAACCACATGCTTCTGGAAGCCATCTTCGTCTTCTTCCCCTGGACGCAGGAGTGCTTGGGACACCTTCACAGCAAGGAGCTCGGGAGTGCTGGCTCAGCCTCCTCTGACACTCCTGAAGTCCCGTAGCTCTGCAAGCCAAACACATACGCATCAGTGAGAGGGGCCTGGGAACTTAAACGAGTATGTTTCTGTCTAAATTCAGGTTCGACGATGACAAGAACCCCAAGCGAACTGTAGGAAATTTTAGCTTATGATATAGTCTCACCTGCAAGGCCTGCTGGAACAATGCCCGACACCCCATGGCAGCAAGCCACGCTCTGAAAGGCACCTGCCCCAGTTACATTCAGAAAAGCCAGCAGAGGGCATTGAAGGCAAGATTTCTCAAAGTGTGATGGGGACAGTTTTCACAAGTCTGCAAAATCAAATTAAGCTGTCCCCACATGAAACGTTTACATGTTAAGAGTTTAAAATGAGCGCTCAGTCCAATACCCACATTTTGCACATGAGAAACCCAGGAAAGGGACAGAAGGTGACATGTGGAGCACTGCCACCCATCCCGAGACCCAACCTGGGTTTTGTCATTCATGACCCTTACGCTCCTTTGCTGCTTTTTCCTCCCGTAAGTAAGTTTGGGGTATTTTCAATATTTTCAATGCCCCGATGTACCTTTAAAGTCGAATTGTTAGAACTTGTCAAGCCTGCGATAAAGAAGGAGCAGCATGTTTATAATCCATCTAGACATTGATTTTCAGTGTTCATTGGATTTCTGCCTGTCCTTTAACCCCCACCACCTAGTGCTGCCTGCGTCGTTAAGTGTGCAGATGAAGCAGCTGAGGGTCCCTGAGATTCAGTCCCCTTCCCAAAGTCTCACAGTGTCTAGACTGCGGGCTGAGATGAAACCAAGGCTGGTACACTGAAAGGGGAGGGAGGTGAGCAGCAAAGTCATTCTCATTCGATAACACAGCACCAAAATGCCTGGCCTTGTCATTTCTGGCCCAGGTACTAGATGCCAGAGGAGAAGAGGGGCTGGGAGCAAGCCCTCGGCCCTGGCTGCAGAGAGGGTTACCTGGCACCGGAGGCTCGGGGACCCTGGCTTTCTTCAGCGTGTTGAGTAGTCCCTGCGAGAGTTTCTGGAGCTTTTATATGTTCTGGCCCCAGGAATTAACCACCTTTGTTTTAATAATGAGCAATAATGTTGGTTATGAATAGTATTCTTTCATAAAAGCCTTATCTGTAGACCAAAGGGGGAAAAAAGCGATGGCTTGAGAACACACACAAGTGGTGCTCAGAGGGCCGGGAAGACAGCCTCTCCCTGTGGGCAAACAGAATCTTTGTTTCACATCCCTGTTATCAGGACCAACAATGTCCTGTGAGCTGTGATGAGACAATCTTCTCCTCCCTGTATTTTTTTTTTCTTGGTGGGGGAGGATCCTCCTTTATATTTATGTCTTCATTTCATTTGAAAGACGGAAAGACACAGAGACATAGCAACCTCCCATCCTCACGTTCACGCCCGCAAGTGCCTGCAACAGCCAAAGTCAGGAGCCAGAAGCTCAACCTGGGTCTCCCACATGGCAGAAACCCAGGACCTTGAGTCGTCATCTGTTGCCTCATAGGATGTGTGTTATAATGCAGCAAGATGTAATCAGAAGTGGAGCTGGACTTTGAACCCGGCTGTCCAGAGTGGACCCTCTGCCCCAGACGCCCACCCCAGGCTCCTCTGCCCCAGACGCCCACCCCAGGCTCCTCTGCCCCAGACGCCCACCCCAGGCTCTCTTTTATTGCTGCACACTCTTTTTCCTTCACTTCTTTCTTCCCAGAAAGGTGTCCAGTTCAACTCGAGAGTCCTGTTTCCACCAGCGAATTTTAGTTAATGGTGTTTTGCTCTAGCACATTTTCATCTCAGTGCATTTTAATACATAATGTACATGTTCTCCTTTTGATTTTAACATCCCAGATCTCATTCATCTCCTCTGATAAGTCTGGAGAACCCTGTTCTGCTTTATGAAAACAGTTATGGAAAGCAAAGTTTGACAAAAATACCTCCAAGTTTCCTTATTTCAGAAAATAGAACAGGCTTGCTTTCTTTTTCTTTCTTCCTTTTTCTCTCTTTCCTTCCTTTCTTCCTTTCTTTCTCTTTCTCTTTCTTTCTTTCTTTCTGTCTTCCTGTTTATGTATGTATGTATATATCCGTGTATGTAGGCAGAGATACAGCTATACAAACAGAAGTTTCCCCAGAGTTGGCTTCCTCGTGCTCTTTGTTCAGATCCTAACCCTGTTCCCACTCACTGTGTAGCACGAGTCCCGTTCCCGGTAGGCAGCTGGACGGCCATCATCATTGCTCCACGGCACAGCACAGTGAGAACGGACTGATGCCAGGTCTTCCAAGTCTCCTATGTTCCAAATCCCTGGTCCAGATCTGAGATGTAAAACTGTTATTTTGGACCCAGCACGGTAGCCTAGTGGCTAAAGTCCTTGCCTTGCACATACCAGGATCCCATATGGGCACCAGTTCGTGTCCCGGCGGCCCTGCTTCCCATCCAGCTCCCTACTTGTGGCCTAGGAAAGCAGTCAAGGATGGCCCAAAGCTTTGAGACTTTGAACCTGTGTGGGAGACCCAGAAGAGGCTCCAGGCTCCTGGCTTTGGACTGACGCAGCTCCAGCTGTTGCAGCTGCTTGGGGAGTGAGTCGTTGGATGGAAGATTTTCCTCTCTGTCTCTCCTTCTCTCTGTATATCTGGCTTTCCAATTAAAAATATTTTTAAATGGTTTATTTATGTATTTATTTAGAGAGACAGAGAGAGAGCAGGGAAGAGACAGAAAGAAAAGATCTTCCATCCCCGGGTTTATTCCACAAGTGGTCATGGTGACTGGTGCTGAGCCAGGCTGAAACCAGGAGCCAGGAACTTCATCCAGGTCTCACACATGGGTGGCAGGGACCAAGGCACCTGCACTTTCTTGCTCTGCTTTCCTAGGTGCAATAACGAGGAGCTGCCTCCGAAGCGAGTAACTGGGGTTTGAACCAGCACTCTGACAAGGACTGCCAGGAGTCCCAAGCAGCAGCCTGACCCACTGCATCACACCAGCCCTGAGGAAACAAGTGGTAAACTTTATGTAAGCTTAACACATGCAGTTTGAATGTAGACCATATGTACTGGCAGCCACATTGGGAAGCACAGGCCAAGAAGATGGAAGCAATTTTCTAGTGAAAACAGAAGATGATTTGGAACAAAGCAGAATTGCTTTTGTTCACAGGGAAGCCTGGAGACAGAAACTTGGAGAAGTTCTGGGGACTGGAAAGAATCGTGAGGAAAGCTGTAGAACTTTGATTTAATTAGAGCACTAAGCAGGAGGCCGCCTGAGGCACACACCGGTCCAAAGTCTGCCATTCCCTGATGTCCTGGAATTGGTCTGAGGCCTTCTGTATTATCCACAGCATGTTCCATTTAAGAAGCTCTGCAGAGCTCTTTCCCAACTCACTAGGCTGTAGTCTTTTTGGTTTTTTGTTTTGTTCTGTTTTATGATTTTGGACTTTCTCATTCCTATTTGCCAGAGATGTTGACCATGAGCATGGATACGAGTTAGTCCTGCAATTCCTTGATACTGAAGTAAATCCAGCCAGCAGCTAGTGGGAGGGAGGAATTGAGTCACCATGGAGGTGTTTATTAACTTCTGCAGTAGTTCTGGAGAATATTGGCTTGAGAACAGCAGGATCCATCCCATTCACTCTGCCCCAGGGTAGCAGGCAGGTTGCAAACCACCTCCCTTCCCACCGTCCATGGACCATCTATCATCTGTCTTCAGGGAGGTCTCCACCTGCCAGAAGGTATCAACCAACCTGTTCTCCCACCACCGTGTAAACTGGAAAGTCTTCATCCTTCCAGATTTTCAACAGCGGTTCAGTCTAGTCCATAAGCCTGCTTTAAACCAAGCCTGTCCTCTGCCACATTTCCCAGAATAGATGGAAGCTATTTGTTTATAGACCTGTTCTCTTCAATCGGGTGTCACTTCCAAGAAGAAAAATGTACTTGCTTATTTTTGTCTGTATGTCTGGCACTTAGGCGAGGTTCAAACTGTGCTGCTCAAGCACTAATTCCTCTTCCTGTCCAGGGCATGTGGGCAGCAGGTCCTCAGCAGCTTACCGGCCGCCCTACCTGGGGCTTGGTGAGTACAGCTGCTCTCCAACAGGACACATACAGGAAACAGGTCCTATTTGTCTGTTTGCCCATCTCATGGAGTTGCCATAAAGCTGGGTTAGGTGTGTGCAAACATCTCTAACAACCAGGATGATCCGAGAGCTGTATAGTATCTGCTCCTTCTTGGAGGGAGCTATTTAATCAAGCAGCTGTGATTGAGTCATTTTTGATTACTTGCTCTGTCTCTTTTCACTTTGGACTCTGATGGGCTTTGAAGTCCCTTCTTTTGTTTTCCTCCCAGTCTCCCTCTCGTTGTATCTTCTCCTCTTGCTCTTTAAATCATTGTCTTTTAACTTGCTTCTTGTTTAATTCTTGTCTACTGTCTTACATGTCAAGATCACTAGATGAAAATGTACTTTCCCTTATGCCAAATTCCTTTTTCAAATTTGTTGTTTTTCCTCTTCCAAGGTTTATTTATTATGTATTTATTTATGGAAAGTCAGATATGCAGAGAGGAGAAGAGACAGATAGGAAGATCTTTTGTCTGCTGACTCACTCTCCAAGTGGCTACAATGGCTGAAGCTGAGCCATTGTAGCCATCAGGGGAGTAAATAATTGGATAGAAGATCTTCCTCTCTGTCTCTCCTTCTCACTGTATATCTGACTTTCCAATAAAAATAAAATAAATCTTAAAAAACAATGGCCCAGAATGAGACAGAAGCTATTTCTAGTCACACAGGAAATCACAACTGTCCTGATCTCTTTTGCCATAGAGTCCTTTGCCTTTTTGATTTGTAATTACATGAAACAATATTGTATGTACACTTTTGTGTCTGAATTTTTTTTCACTCAACCTGAGTCTTTATGATTCATCCTCATTGTGGCCTG